ACATCCCTAGACAAATTTAATTTCTTCCCATATGCAAAATATGGATTCTTAAATTTATAGACAAGTATCCCAGTCACCACCCATCAAAGTAGCTTCTTTTTCAACAGACAGAGATTATTACAGAGTTACACCACTGGTCACACACAGAGATTCTCTGTGAATTGCTCAAGCCTAAGTGGCATATCTAGGATGCAGTCTCTACATCTAAGACTCACAGAACACAGAACAAGGGATGAAGAGAACACTAATGCATCTTTCAATTCTCATCAGTGAAGCTCCAACCTGCAACAGAGGGCCAGGAACACAAAGGCCACAAATGGCCAAAACACAAAGAATAAGAGTCTGCAAAGTGTGGGTCCTTGGACAGGACTCCTATATTGATATCTAGGATGCAGTCTCTACATCTAAGACTCACAGAACACAGAACAAGGGATGAAGAGAACACTAATGCATCTTTCAATTCTCATCAGTGAAGCTCCAACCTGCAACAGAGGGCCAGGAACACAAAGGCCACAAATGGCCAAAACACAAAGAATAAGAGTCTGCAAAGTGTGGGTCCTTGGACAGGACTCCTATATTGAGGTCCATGCACCCAAGGCTCAGGGGCCATTGTGGAAGAGTGGCAGAAAGATTGTTAGAGCCAGGGAGGAAGTGCATTACCATACAAAAATGGTCCTACAGATGCCTGGGACCCTTCTCATACAAACCTACAGCAATGGTGTCAGCATGCACAAGACCCATGCAAAGTTAGGCAGACAAAAACCCAGCACAGAACTGTGGAAATGAACAGTAAGCCCCAATCTTAGTGAAAGAACTAATTATTGCTGGGTGAGGAAGAGCTGATCTTCCTGAAGGGAGAGACTCTAAATAGGCTGACTAAACCCCGGTGGATGAACTTTCACCGAGGGACATTTGGGGACACTAACTTTACATAATAGACCTAACACAAATGACAGAATGTATGCACTCCAGTGGGGGGGCTATGGGAGGTGCAAAAGGGGAAGGGGAAGGGGTCTCTCACAAAGGGTCTCTCATTAACCAGGGACTTGCTGATTCTAGGCTGGTTGTGCGTGCGTGTGTGTGTGTGTGTGTGTGTGTCTGTGTCTGTGTCTGTGTCTGTGTCTGTGTGTTGCTTGTTTTGTTTTATGGGATTTTGTTTTATGAGATTTGGGGGTTTTTTTTAAACTTATTTTGATTTTATGTGTATAAGTGTTTTGCCTGCATGTACATAAGTGCACCTGTGTCATACAATGCCAAGGAGGCCAGAACAAGGCATTGGATCCTCTGGAACTGGAGTTTCGGATGATGATTGATAGCTGTGATGTGAGTGCTGGGAACCTGAGTCCTCTGCAAGAGCCTCCAGTGCTCTTAACAGCTGCACCATCACTCCAGTCCTGAGATTTATTTAGATTTGGGATGTTAGTCTTTTGTTATTGTTTGTCCTTCTCCTTCCCCCTCCTCCTCCTCTTCTTCCTCCACCCCCTTCTCCTTCCTCCCTCTTCCTCCTTCTCTTCCTCATCTTTCCCAGTTGGGCTATACACCTCATGCCAACACTGACCCTCCTGCCTCGGCCTCCTAAATGCTGGGATTGAGTCAGGTGTCACCATGCCTCACTTCCTTTGGGTTTTTATGTCATGATCACTAGTTATTTTTAGACTTGTTCTTCATAAGATCAAATCCATGCCACTGCAGGCTGTAGAGCATCAGGTGATCTTTAGCAGCATCTTCATTTTGTGGGAGACAATCTTCTTGAATTTTCCATTTGGCTCTTCCTTGGAGGGGTGGCTGTCTAGGATAGCTGCCCACCCTCCTGCTTGGATTATCTTTGCCTGGTTTGGACCCTGAACCCAGGGTCTTCTTCCTTTTATTTATCACTTTGGTTGGTTGGTATCCATTCTCTTATAACTTTATGAAAAAAAAAAAACACAAGAGAAGTAAACGTGAAGTCTTGTATTTTGAATGGGACCTTATCCTACATTCACATTTCACTTGGCTATGTATAATTTTCTTCTTAAATTTTTATTTGTTCATCTATTTGTTAGTGTGTGCCTGTGTAGGTATGCATGCCACATGGCACACATGTGGTCAGAGCATAACTTTTAGCAGTCTGTTCTCTGCTTCCACTGTGGATTTGGAAAATTGAACTCGGATCATCAGGCTTGTATGGCAAGTGCTTTTACCCACTTAGCCATTTTACTGACCCAATTAGCTATGTGTAATTTTCTTTTTAAAAATATTTATTTTTATTATATATGTATGGGTGTATTGCCTGCATGTGCATAAGTGCACCCATATTTTGCAGTGCCTGTGGAGGTCAGAAGAAGGTATTGGATCCCCTGAAATAGGAGTTATGGACGGTTGTTAGCCACCATGTGGGTGCTGGCAATTGAACCCGGGTCCTCTGCAAGAGTAATCAGTGTTCTTAACCACTGAGCCATCTTTCCAGTCCCTACCTGTGCCTAATTTTCTAAACTGAACATTGTTTTCCTAGCTGGGTCAGGTAGCACACCCTGTAATCCCAGCGATCAGGAGCCTGAGACAGGCCAGAAGGAGGCCAAGTTTGAGGCCAGCCTGTCCCAAGAAATAAACTTATTTTCTTTCAGAATTTTGGAAGCATTGCCCCATTCAAACATTTATTATTTCTGTTGGGAAATATTTCTGATTCTTTCTAGATACAATTATTTTCCCTTTTCTGCAAGGGATAGATCTTAAGACCCACAGTGGATATCTGAAATCATAATACTGGAACCCTAGGTATACTATGCTTTCCCTCTATAAACATTTGGTAAAGTTTGATGTATATAAATTAGGTGCAATGAGGGGGCTTGAGAGATGATTCAGTAGTTAAGAGCACTGGCTGCTCTTGCAGAGGACCTGGGTTCTGTTCCCAGCATCCACATAGTAGCTAACAACTGTCTGTAACTCCAGTTCCAGGGGATCCAACACTCTATTCTGTCCTCCACATGTACTGCATGATACAGGTGCACTTAGATACACACAGGCAAAATACTCATACACATAAAATAAAAATATTAAATATTTGTTAATTTTAATTAGGCACAGAGCAGTCTGCGTCCCAGTTCACTATCTGTAAGTTGGGTAACCTCTTCAGAGGATGGTGTGATAAGAATAAGAGGTAGGAATTGGCTAGGCAGTTAGGGTAAAAAGAGCCAAAGTAGCCAGTTTCTTGGCTAAAAATCAAATTGTCCTTGGGCCTCTTGGCAACGTACTCCATTCCTAAGGCCAAAAATGTTGAAAGTATTTGGGAGCTCTTATCTAATCCTTAAAAGATTTTAGAGTTACTTCTTTGGAGTGGGGAATGTTACAGTAGCAAAAAGCCCCATAAAAAAAAGAAGAAACAGTACATGAAGTTATCAGAAAAAAGTGATGGGGAGACATGGGAGGAGTTGGAGGGGAGGGAGTGGGCATGGATTTGATCAAAACACCTTATATGCGTGTAGGAAATTCTCAATACATTATTTTAGAAAATAAAAATAACAAAATAATTTTAAAAATAAAGAAATTTAGGGCCGGGCGTGGTGGCACACGCCTTTAATCCCAGCACTCAGGAGGCAGAGGCAGGCGGATCTCTGTGAGTTCGAGGCCAGCCTGGTCTACATAGTGAGTTCCAGAACAGCTGGGGCTACAGGGAGACCCTGTCTCAAAAAGACCAAAAAATAAATAAAATAAAATAAAATAAATAAATAAATAAATAAGTTTAATTAGGCACAATGAGAAATTAACAATAACTAGCAATAGAGCACTTATAACTGCACGCTGTGGAAAGGGCTATGTGATCTGGCCACTCTCCAAGTCTCTCATAATACTGTACCTGTTTTTTTTGCTGACTGCAACTGAGACACTGGAAAGTGACACCTTGGAGAAGGAGAGACTCGTATATGACCTCTACTGCCCTCACGGATTTCAGAGTCTTTTCTTTGGTCCTCAGTATTACACACACCCCTCTTCCAGGCCTATGATCCCAGCACTTAGGAAGCTGAGGCAGGAAAACCATGAGTTTGAAGCCCCAT